GTGATCCAAACGCGAGATGGCGCTGATGTTAAAAACTTTTTATTCGCTGTTTCTTTATCGACAAAACATATTTCATCAACAATTGGAATAAAATTAAAAAAAAACGTATTTGATTAATTATTAAAATTATTAAAATTAAAAGATGTTTAAATAATAATATTTGAAGAATATAAAGATGAATAATACAAAAAAAAAGCAATATTTAATCTATTTGTAATTTATATATAATGAAAGATATATAAAAATTTATAGATATGGGTTATAAAAAATAAATTTATGTGAATATAAAATATATGATATAGTTTTGACGACATAAATTTTATTGTGATTTTTAATAATTAAAACAATTAAAGCAATGGTAAAATAAAATAGAATATTCAAGAGATGGCGTTGCATTCTTTTTCTACTTTATCTCATCTTTAAAAAATATGTTCATGTCATTTAAGAGATGGCGCTAATGATCAATTCTGATCCTATTTCTATATTTTTTGCTATTTTTTTTATTTTCTTTGCATGTTTCATTTACAGCACTTTAAAAATGGCATTGATTTTGGTATTTTTAATCTATCTCTATCCTTCTTTCACTATTTGATCTTTTTGTTCATATTATGAATTTATGCACTCATGAATCTATGAACTTCTGATCTTTAATTTTTTCTTTTCTTTATCTTACGATTGAAAATCTTAATATAATATAATTGATTCAACTTTTATATTTATGTATGTATATATGTACATTTTATATAATTATTTGATTATTTTTATCTATTTTATATTATATATTATATATTATGTATATATGTATTTAAATTTTTTATACGTTGTAGATTGAAAAAATATAAAGGAAAAATTATTTAAAAGATTCACAATATATTTAAAAAGCATCGAAATCGATGAAAATTCATCTTCTTGATTGTATCTTATTTTTATTTTTCAAATCAATGATGAGAAAGTAATCGGATAATTCGAGAAAAGTATTCTGTATTTGTAATAAAAACACTTGTTCTTATTTTTATTTTTATTTTTATTAAAATTTCCAGATTTTTTTCTAATACAAAGTAAACAATTTTGTTTAATACATTATACGAATAGATTTAACGGAAAATTTGTAAATATATAATAAGTTTTAAAACTTTCCCTATTTAAAGTCTAGCTACGCATGAAATCCGTTTAATACGCGGCAGTAATGCAAACAATGCGAAAGCAAATAGGAGCAATGCCTTATTGAACGTACGACGACAGCGAAATGGACCTTGCATCTAGTCAAGATCAAGGTACCTTGTGAAGCCGCGTTTGAAGTCACAGTTCTCCATGGGTATACGATAATGTTGGATATTAGTGTGTACGATTCACGCCCACCGATATATTCTTGAATCCGTGTGACCTACTAACTTGTCCAGTCACGCACACACTCGTATACGGATGTGCATTCAGCGCGCACGCTATAAATGCTACATAAGTACTACACGAACAGGACCCAGGACCTAACTTTTTTCTCTCGCTTAACTTTCGGTATACGTATCCTTTATTGCTTTGCTTTTCGATAAATATAAACAGTGACACTGATTTTCTCTTCTGTTCTTTGGAACATTTCTTCGATAAAATTTTTTTTAACGCCAAATATTGCTTGTACACATTTTTAACAAATAATCACTTTCATTGAATATGGATGCTGAAATCTGAAATCATATTTAACACACATATTATTTCGAAATTTTTGTAACATATTCAAAATTTTTTTTCGTAAAAAAATTTTATTACCTAGTGAGAGCTTATGACAAGCACACAAGCATAATCGAATAGATAACATAGAAATATTTGAAAACAACTAATTTTTTTTTCTTCGCTTTCCATCCCCCCCTTAATACTCTCTATTAATCCGTGTAACATGATTGCATCAGTAAACATAATAATATTTCAGGTCATAATAATATTTCTCCACCTCTCTCTATCAACGGTTAATTATTTACGTAGTTAGGAACAGATTCAGACCTGTAAATGCGCTATAATGCATAATCCATAGAAAATCATTCACGGTGATTTTAATGACTAACCTGTATACAGACTCTCAAGCTCTCTCGTGCACGCACACGCATTTCGACATACAGGTCCACTTGTCTTACGCATACTAACAAGTCCATCTTCTCTGGTTCATCTTACACGTACACGTACACGTGATGTATGGTAATATGAAGGCACATACAGGTACATGCCGGTATATGCAGGTAGCGTATATCAGGGGGGCACGTCGTCGGCCCGCCCCTCCCCTCCTCCCCCCGGCAACCGTGGAGGGGACACGTGGGGTCCCATAGAACGGCGAGTAGCTCGTTGGGGCTCGCACCCATACGCGCGCAACTCGTGAGTAGTGTTAACGGCCTTGCTTTATGTGGGTCATGAAACAAGGTCCCACCAGCACGAGGAGCACAAGAGAACACTGCACGCTTTTAACTCGAGCTCCGCTTGATACTTCTATAGACATCTACACACGCGCATGCGCGGCTCTCTCGTGCATGCGGCTACATGTGGCAGCACAATAGCGCGCGATTTGACAAAAACAAAACGACAAACAGCACGAAGGAATATTCCTTTTTACGTGTAAATATTGCGTAAAAATTTATTGTAAAATGCAATGTGATTATTAATCATATAATAGTATAAAAATTTTATTCTAATCTTTTTGATTTCTATTCTAAACGGAATGATCCATCCGTATCCCCATTAATAAAAGATTCATCGCCTACGTATCGATTCTACCGATTTAACGAGCACGTAAATTTACGTATAAAGAAAAATCGAAGTATCTATTGTTACTTCGTGCTGGATTCACGGAACACATTCGGATACGTGTTGTACACCTTTGACCTTAAAATATGATGATGTATACCCTATTTCAAAACTCGCTTACCATCGCGCAACGGATTCACAAGAAGATTACAATACAATGAATGAAAATTGGTAAGAAATATTTCCTTCTCTTTTTATTAACTTGGAAAAATTGAACTCTCGACTTTTAATATCCCCTTTAATTCGCTTAATAACCCATTTTAATCGCGTAATCGCCATCTGATTTACATTAAATTAATTCCTTCCACCCTTTTCGAAACGAATATATTAAAAAAACGCATCGCTGATCTCTTCCACGGATGTTGTTCCATCCGATCCGATAATCAAAATATCCGATCGGCTCGCAACGGATGAACGGCTCTCGCGCAAGCGTATTTGTGCATTGACATACAGAGAGAGAGAGGCGAACGCAACCACCAACGCAATCTTGGTGCTTTCTATAAACTGCACTACCAAGTGCGGCGCGTACGCGCTCTCTTCCTGGTGGCGCGAACGCCGAGCCATAGTCTACGTACGCATCGTTACGCCGTCCTTTTAAATTGGTGTTATTTACTCGGCGGATCGATCGTGGCTCGTGAAATTTTCGCAAATGGAATAATAACGAGGTGTTGTCCCGATCCTTGATTTCCGTAGATTATACGGAATAACAGTGTGGATAATAACGTAGGGGATGATGGATATAACCGTGGGTACAGTTATTTGCACGGAATATTAATATTAAAATATTTACTCACCAAGATTCTCATAATTTATTTTACTTGGAATCTTGCTTACGTGATAATATCGATAAAAATCAAGAGAAACGTAATAATTTCATTCACGATTTAAAGGTGTCTTTCAAACACACTTCGGTTCTGACATGGAAACCACGGTTTCCTCGTTTTCTAGAATGGTCGAGGAATATGGTCACAATAGAACAGCTTCGAGTTAAAATCCGAACCCATTAAATTGATTTATCGTTTTGTTTAACGGTCGAAAGGATTCTCTTCACCGT